GGAGGGTCGGCGAAACCTGCGGCCGCTGGGAGCGTGGCCACAGGTTAAGCTGGTGAGCGGCGTAGCGAACGGCAAACGGCCACAGAAAATGGGGTGCACCGGCATGGATCATGGAGGTACGAGCCACCTCCATGACCAAGCCGATGCGGCGCTCGGCAACCCCATTCTGCTGTGGCGAGTCCGGCAAGGTGTACAAGTGGGTGATGCCCTCCGCACGACAGAACTGTCCAAGCCGACCAGAAGTGAACTCTCCGCCACGGTTAGAGTGGAGACACAACACGGGGAGACCGCGGTGAAGACGCGTAGCCACAACCCACGGGAGAAGAACGTCGGGCACATCGGCCTTCCGCTACAGGGGAAACACCGTGGTGTAGCGCGTGTAGTCGTTGACGAGCACAAGAAAATAGCGCTCGCCACGCGGTCCGGGGACGGGGGCTGGGCCCCAAACGTCCAGGTGCAGGGTCTGAAGGGGAGCAGTAGCAGGGCGAAGCGAGGAGGAGTGAGGGGCACGGCGGAGCCGGCCCTTGACACAGGGCGTGCACGGTGGAGCAGGCGAGAGGGGAAGGGCGGGGAGCGACGCGGGGAGGCCTAAGGCAAGACCGTGCTGGGACATGTGATGCAGACGCGGGAGTGCAGGGTGACCTAGGCGGTGGTGCCACAAAAGGGACGGGTGAGTGAGAGACCGACACGAGCAAGCTGCAGCGACCTGGGAGGACGCACCAACCGGGTGGGAAGCGGTGTCTAGGGTGAAGAGTCCGGACACCGGGTCCTGAGGGAACGTAGCAAGTGGGGAACCTGAGACAGCATCATAACAGACAGCGAGCCGCTCGTGCTCGGGGAACGTGGTGGTGACGCCGAGGTCCTGAAGACAGCCGACACCAACCAGGTTCCTTGAGAACGAGGGAACGTGGAGGTCTGTAAGAGAGCCCGAGGGAACTGCTGGACAGGGAAGGGACGTGGAACTGTGAGCGACGACGGGACCCGCAGAGGGGTCAGCGAGAGAGACAACAGCAGGCGCAGCAAGCGGCGTAAGCGTGGAGCGGTCGCGGAAGAAACAGGCAGAAGCACCGGAGACGAGAGTGAAGGACAGCGAGGCAGTGGCGGAGGCTGGGAACGGAGCCGGTGCAGAACCTAGGCTAGGCAAACTAGGCAGTCCTACGCCTGACACAGCAGGGGAGGCTGAGCTACACAAAGGTGAGACACCTAAACTAGAGTACACAGGGTAATAAGATCCAGCAACACTAGAAGCGTTAGCATACAAAGCATGCAAAGCAGCACCTATCTGATCCATATCTAACTCAAAGATCGGCACGCCCTGGCGAAGCAGGCTGTGCCAGTCGGGGAGGTCCGGGGCCGGGCCAAAGCGACGACGAAAGAGATCGTCGAGGCGGCGGAAACAGCGGGCGGTCGGGTGCGGGCGGCGGCACAGAGTGCCGCGGAGAGGCCCGGTCTGAAGCTCGTACTGGCAGGTCACAGCACTGGAGCTGCCGGTAGACGCCAAGCTGCACTGGCCACCACCTCGGCCACCACCGCCGGAGGTGCCGGGCCAACCAGGTGGGAGACGAGCCCACGGCTGCGACAGCTGCTGCTGGGATGGCGGCGGCTGCTGCTGGGGCTGCTCCGGCTGCGAAGGCGACTGCGTCTACTCCTGCCCACCGGTGGTAGTCCCCTCAGGTGGACTACCGTCACCATCACCACTAGTGCCACCACCACGACCTCCCAGGCGGCCACGGCCACCGCGGCGCAGACGCTGCTGCGGGTGGACCGCAGCTGCCATCTCGGTAAGAGGGGTCGCAGTGGCGACCGCAGCCGAAACGTCAGTAAACGTGCACTGGGAGGGGGCACAGCCGTGAAAGATAGAGACTGCCAGCGCACCGCTCGACTGAGCGATAGTGCGCTGGCGCGTCTCGATCTCGGTGAGGGTGTCGACAAAGGCGGTCAGTGTGAGGTCACCCGGGTGCTGGCTAAGGAAGCGGTCGCGGGCACTAGCTAGGCGGTCCGGCAGGCGCATAGCGATAAAATAGAGGGTCATGCAGAATGGGGGGGGGAGCGCAGTGAGCTGGGCAGCAGTGCTGGCAATGCGATAGCGAGTCTCTAGGGCACGCAAGTGAGTTGCAAAGTCTGCGACAGTAGGGAAGGCAGCAAGGTCTGGGAACAGCATCGGGAAGAGCGGGTGACCGGCAGAAGCGGATGCAGGTGTGGAATAGCGAGCAATAACAACGTCTAAATAAGCTTTGGCCGTATCAACTGTAGCGAAACACGAGCGCTCAGACACAAGGAGGGCGTGACTGATAGCAACCTGAGCTACTGCATCGCGTCAGTCCCTGACCGCACAGGCAAGCGCAGTAGTAGAGAAAGCCTCACTCTCAGCGGAGGTGGGGTCAGCAGGGAGGGGAGCAGGTGCAGGGGGGCGGGGGAGCAAGCCATCAGCATGGACAACCAGCGAGTGTCCATCCTGGCGCCGACCTGTAAGATGACGGCGGAGATCGGAGAGCCAGGCGACGAACTCAACCGCGTGGCCCTCAGCTTCCAGGCGGAGCACGAAGTCAGCCATCGTGCAGGGTTAGTGACACAGCTCCTCAGCGACACAGCGGCACAGCTCCACAGCTCGGCAGGAGAACAGCGGCACGGGGACACGGCGATAGCACTCTCCAGTAGGGCGGCTGCGGGGCGCCCCGGCGCGGGCTAGCAGAGGACACGGGGCCCAAGGTGGCACGGCAGGCCGAGCAGGCACGAGGAGGGGCCAGGCGGGCAGGAGGAGGGGCCGGGCTGGCGCTGAAAACCGAGTGGGCGTGACAAGGCCGGGCTGGCGCTAGGAGGGGCCGGGCGGGCGCACTGGGACTGGCGAGCGGTAGGAGAGGCATGGCGGCGCTAGGAAGAGGCCGGGCAGGTGCTGCTGGGGCCGGCTAGGAGCGGGCTCGACGGTCAGGGGGCCGGCCAGGAGCGGGCGCGACGGCCAGTGGGGCCAGCTAGGGGCGGGCGCGACGGCCAGGGGGGCGGCTAGGAGCTGGCACGAACGGCCAGGGGGCCAGCTGAGGGCGGATGCGACGGCCAGGGGGGCAGTTAGGGGCGGACGCGACGGCCAGGGGCCCGACTAGGGGCGGACGCGTCGGCCAGGGGGCCAGCTGAGAGCGGACGCGACGGCCAGGGGGCCGACTAGGGGCGGACGCGACGGTCAAGGGGCCGACTAGGGGCGAACGCGATGGCCAGGGGGCCGGCTAGGGGCGGACGCGACGGCCAGGGGGCCGGATAGGGGCGGACGCGACGGCCAGGGGGGCGACTAGGGGCGGACGCGACGGCCAGGGGGCCAGCTAGGGGCGAACGCGACAGCGAGGGGGCCGACTAGGGGCGGACGCGACGGCCAGGGGGCCAGCTAGGGGCAAACGCGACGGCCAGGGGGCCGGCTAGGGGCAGACGCGACGGCCAGGGGGCCGACTAGGGGCGGACGCGACGGCCAAGGGCCCGACAAGGGGCGAACGCGACGGCCAGGGGGCCGGCTAGGGGCAGATGCGACGGCCGGGGGGCCGACTAGGGGCGGAGGCGACGGCCAGGGGAGGCAGCTAGGGGCGAACGCGACGGCCAGGGGGCCGACTAGGGTCGGACGCGACGGCCAGGGGGCCGGCTAAGGGCGGACGCGATGGCCAGAGGGCCGACTAGGGGCGGACGCGACGGCCAGGGGGCCGGCTAAGGGCGGGCGAGAGACTAGGGCGTGGGCGGAAGCGGGCGGGGGGACCTAACCTACTCGATACCATGTCAGAATACGTGAATAATTACTAGGAGAAACCTAAAACATATACCTGTTGGGTTGTACTCACTAGAAGCACACACCTAGTCCAGCATGTAACTTCTACATAGAACATATAACGCAGCTGGACGATGTCGCAGATTATTTTCGCGAAATCCAATACCGCCATGTATGCCACTCAATCGCAATAAAATGGGGTCGCAATACAGATGGCGATCCAACGGCCAATAAAATATCGCTAGTTGGAAAATCAGCAAGCTGTACGCAGGCTCGTGTATTGTGAAAACATTTTCATCCATCTTGTCTTATGATTACGGTCCTATTCTAAACCTCGTGTCAAGAGCATTCGAGGCGTTTTACATTTTTTAGAACCAATCACGTAAATATCCTGGCTTCCCGCGTTACACGAACAGGTCCGTCATGAATACAGAAACACGACCCTCGTTCCCTCGATCACAATTAACAAGCACATTTAGAAAATGATTTTCTCAAGGGGGTCTTTTTCTCTTTCGTAAAAACGTGTGGTTGGTTGACGAAACCGCTTAATAAACTCGTCAAATTTTTGTTCCGCTTCGCCCTTTTCGTGGTATAAACCGTCGCCCTCGTGCTACTCTATTATCCAGTTTGCTCGTTTCGTACCGCTCCTATTCGTCGTAGTCCATATTTGCGAGTCGCGGATTTGAGGCATAGAGCATACCCGCTGTATGAGGCAACAAAGCTCATGCAACAATGTGCAATACCCTACCCTCCGCAACACGGGTGAAGTCTCGAGCGCTAGGGGGTTTCCCCCAGGGGCTCGCAGGTGGATCGGCGTGGGAAAGGGGGCCTGGTTTCCTCCTGGGATCTCCTTAAAGCCCAAAACAAAGTGCAATACACGATACCTGCGACATATACTTTACTAATAACTTCACACAGTTTACGATTTTCCCTTTGATCTAGGGATACCCGCGGTTAGCTCAAGCAAATAATGAAATAACGTGAGCACTTTTCTGGCACGAACATTACGGGCCTCTGCGAACTCTCACGGGGCTCGACGATAATCACAACGTAACTTTTTTCAGTGCGAGGGGCGTGCTCTTCGATTCCGCCCTACTCCGCCTGGAAAACTAGACACAATCACCCCAAGTCTGAAGCTGTGCTGGGAGGGAGTGTTTGACTCGAAGTTTCCAGGTTGTGAAAATGTCGCGACCTAGGTGTACAGTGCATGGTGGATCTCTATTCCTGGGCAAGAAACTCCAATCCTCGACTCCAAAGCCATGGTTAGCATCCCAAATATGCTCTCCAGCTTGGATGTCTGACATATCGTCTCAGACGCAAACTCCAGCCATCTCCTCTCTAGCATTGTGTCTACTTGCTTTCCGAGCTCTGCGGCTGACCATTTGAGCATGGCAAAGGTTGATTAGGCTGACCATTTACCCTCATTCAAGGTCCATTGCGCGTGTATCTGCTTCGTCAATGTCATCGGCCGCCGATAGCCTTACTACGTTGAGTCTTGAGACCTCCCAATTCCCATAGCGCATATTAGCGTCGTCCATGCCACCGGCATGCATGCATAATGCGTCACGTCTATCAAGCCCTATTCCACTGGCCGTTCCACAGTCGATCCGAAACTCCCGTGTTAGTAGCATCTCCATTAGGTAGATTTGTCGGTCAGATCAAGCCATGGCATGTGCTCTGTTTAATCGCTCTTGCCGTGCAAGTGTACCTCTTCCGTAGCTACGAGATCGGTTGCAAGTGCTCCCAAACATGCACGGGTCAAGCAACCGCGCAACAAGGGTCGTACGCCTCCCTCGTTACATCTCACCCGCGTGTCAATGAGAACGGGGCCGATGCTCCAGGAGGAATCAATTTTCATGACGGGCAGTTGGGCACCTCCGGGCAGATCGGGCAGGATTCCGTGTTTTCACAAAACCAGCACCTGCAGCCGCAGCAACAGGAGGTGCAGCAGCAGCAGCAGCAGCAGCTGTTGGTGAATTATGCACCACGGCAAGTGGAGCAACTGCAGCAGCAGCAGCAGCCAGTGCAAGACCCCTTCCAGCCGCGGCAGCAGGAGCAGCAGCCGAAGCAAAACGTGGAGCAAGAGGAGCAGGAAGAGCCGGCTCAGCAGCAGCAGCAGCAGCAGCAGCAGGACCAGGCGCCGGGTAGTCTCTCGAACCAGCAAGACGAACCACGCCCCCGTTATTTTACCGGGTACGCTCGGAGTCCTATTGCTCAGAGTCCTATTGCTCAGAGTCCTATTGCTCGGAGTCCCATTGCTCGGAGTCCTATTGCTCGGAGTCCCATTGCTCGGAGTCCTATTGCTCGGAGTCCCATTGCTCGGAGTCCTATTGCTCGGAGTCCCATTGCTCGGAGTCCTATTGCTCGGAGTCCCATTGCTCGGAGTCCCAGTGCTCGGAGTCCCATTGCTCGGAGTCCCATTGCTCGGAGTCCCATTGCTCCGAGTCCCATTGCTCGGAGTCCCATTGCTCGGAGTCCCATTGCTCGGAGTCCCATTGCTCGGAGTCCCATTGCTCGGAGTCCCATTGCTCGGAGTCCCAGTGCTCGGAGTCCCATTGCTCGGAGTCCCAGTGCTCGGAGTCCCATTGCTCGGAGTCCCATTGCTCGGAGTCCCATTGCTCGGAGTCCCATTGCTCGGAGTCCCATTGCTCAGAGTCCCATTGCTCGGAGTCCCATTGCTCGGAGTCCCATTGCTCGGAGTTCCATTGCTCAGAGTCCCATTGCTCGGAGTCCCATTGCTCGGAGTCCCATTGCTCGGAGTCCCATTGCTCGGAGTCCCATTGCTCGGATTCCCATTGCTCAGAGTCCCATTGCTCGGAGTCCCATTGCTCGGAGTCCCATTGCTCGGAGTCCCATTGCTCCGAGCCCCATTGCTCGGAGTCCCATTGCTCAGAGTCCCATCCCTTACTCCAGTGACCTCCCTCTTATGCTCCTCACCTCACCGTGCTGTGCTGGCATCCCAGCTGGAGACACTAGGGGAGCGGAAGAATTGGCAGCCCAGCAGATGAGTGGCAGATCTCCCCCACCTTACCTCACATGCACCCCACCTTCCCCTTCGCCTTCTTCACATGATCCCCCCTTCCTGCGCAATCAGACCAGAGTGGAAGACTCTCAGCTGCACCTGGTTGTGAGACATGCAAGCTGGAGACGCTCGGAGGGCGGAAGCGAAAGGACTGACAGCAGAGTCACCTGAGAGAGAACTTGAGGCTCAGATGCACCCCACCTGATCTCACACGATCTCCCCTCCCCTGCGCAATCCGATCAGAGTGGAAGACTCTCAGCTGCGCCTGGTTGCGAGACATGCGAGCTGGAGATGCTAGGGGGGCGAAAGAATTGACAGCAGAGCAGTTGAGTCGCAGGTGCTCCTGCTGTATCTGACATCCTCACCCCTTCCCTGCTGCTTTCACAGCAGAGTGGAGGAATCTCAGCCGCACCTGGTTGTGCATGACACATGCAAGCTGGAGACGCTTGGCGGGCAGAAGAAGGACGGCTACGGCGCGTGGACGCTCTGCACCAATCACTAGTACCATCGTCTCCCCCTCCCGACCACACAGCAGAGTGGAGGACTCTCAGCCGCACCTGGTTGCGCACGACACATGCAATCTGGAGACACTAGGAGGGCGGAAGAAGGACGGCTATGGCGCGTGGACGCTCTGCACCAATCACGTGCGGCCAGGTGGCATAGTGTACTCGTTCGGCATCGGCGGCGATGTGTCCTTTGACAACGAGATGTTGAACAGAGGCCACAAGGTATGTTCCCCACCCCCCCCAACCCCCCCCCTTATGAGTTTTGTGTCGACTCAAAGGCATGTTGTATACGCGTTCGGCATTGGCGGCGGTGTGTCGTTTGACAATGAGATGTTGAACAGAGGCCACAAGGTATGTTCCCTCCCCCCCTAGTGACTCTTGAGTCGACTCTACAGTCACGTCATGTACGCGTGCGTACGTCCAGGTGGCATCGTTTTCTCGCTGGGCCGTGTGTCCTTTGACACTGGGATGCTGAACAGAAGTCACAGAGTATGTATCCCCTCCCCTTCCCTCCCCCCCTCCCTCCTCTCTCCTCCTCCTCTCTCTCTAGTGGCAAGGTATCCTCCCCCCCTAGTGACCTTTGAGTCGACTCTTAAGTCGTGTCATATACACGTGCGGCCAGGTGGCATCATGTACTCGTTTGGCATCGGGGCCATGTGTCATTTGACAGTGAGAAGATGAACAAAGGGCACAGTGAGATGTGTCCCTGCTCCTCCTCCTCCTCCTCCTCCTCCTCCTCCTCCTCCTCCTCCTCCTCCTCCTCCTCCTCCTCCTCCTCCTCCTCCTCCTCCTCCTCCTCCTCCTCCTCCTCCTCCTCCTCCTCCTTCTCCTCCTCCTCCTCCTCCTCCTCCTCCTCCTCCTCCTCCTCCTCCTCCTCCTCCTCCTCCTCCTCCTCCTCCTCCTCCTCCTCCTCCTCCTCCTCCTCCTCCTCACTCTCCTCCTCTCCCTCATTCCCCACCTCTCCCAACTCCTTCCCCTCCCATTTCCTCCCAAGGGGTTAACTTCTAATGTCTTGCCTCCCGGTCATTGCTGCCACCCTGCCCTCCTCGATTTTTGACATTTAACAACCATTCATTCCCCGTTCTGGTTTTTCCCGATCCTCAAATGCCGTATTTTTTAAGCGGACCATGTATTTCTGCCATATTTCACTGTCTCTCCCGTGCGTCAGGTATTCGGCTTTGACCCCACAGTCACCCCAGAGGACGTGAGCAGCTTATTCCAAAGCAACCACGACCGAGATCAACCGTCCACCTTCCAGTTCTGCCAGGTTGGCATCGGGCCCGTCAACGGCGTGATCACCTTCTTCCGCCCCAAGAACCCTCGCATAAAATCCATGACAGCTGTATCGCACGAGCAGCTATCTGGGCGGTACGAACGCCAAGGCATGCCGGCTCCTGTTCTCCGGTTGCCGACATTCATGTGCACGAACGGCCATGGCTTCATTGATGTGTTGAAGGTCGATGTGGAAGGGGTGGAGTTTGATATCTGTGATGATTGGCTACGGATGGGCACGCCTCTCCCAGTGGGCCAAGTGTTATTAGAGTTTCATGACCGGTTGCTGAGGGATGGGAAGGTGCGCAAAAGAGCGTGCTACGAGGCTATGGCTAGAGAAGGATTTACGGAGGTGTATGTTAGTCGTAACAAGGAAGAAGTTACATTTGCTAGGTTGGCTATTGTTGGAAATATCTCGAAGATTTAAGAAATCTGAAGTGTAACACTACACTTGAAGAAATGTTGTATTGAGTACGCGAGTCAACGGAGGTTGCACGAGCTTGGACTAAAGAACACGAAACAACGAAGGGACACGAAGGATCGCAACCGGAGGTTGCAACTCTTAGAAACTTAGGACTAAAGGTTCTTAAACTTAGGAGGCTAGGTTGGCTAGGATACTAGGAAGAAGATCGCCATGGAATGGCGTGAGGAAAAACGGATCTAGGAAGGGAGGGAATGTCGAGAAGAAAAGTGGTTGGATTAGGAAGAGAGGGGAGTACAAGGAGGGGTTTGTACCCCCTACAGAAAGGTTCAGTAACAACCTACCAAGCCTATATTAAATTATAACTTATATAATTTTAACACACCCCCTAGGCTTGGTAGTGTCAAGCCCACGCACACCCCCACACCCACACCCACACCCACACCCCCTAGCCCAGCACCCCCATTCCCAGCAGCAGCCGAAACGACTCCGAAAGAGGGTAGGTCTCACGGCCCCTTGAGACGGCAATGGCGGCAGCAGCGACAGTGACGACAGCGGCGGCGGCGGCGGTGTGCGGCGGCTCCAGGCCTGCGGCAACAGCGGCGGCGCCGGGGGGCTCGAACGACAGAGGCTGGTGCGGCGGCCCCCGCCCTCTCGGCGGCATGTCCTGTCTCCTCGGCGGTGGAGAGGTCCCTCACATGGCAGTCATCGGCTGCAGCAAGAAAGGGGGGGATGCAGGGGAAGCAGGTGCAGGTGGGGGGGGGGGGGGGAGGGGGCGGGGCGAGGCGAGTCTTCAGCGACGCACCATAAATGGCGCGGCGCTTACTGGCGGGAGGACGTCGTCCTGAGGGACGCCCGTCTGTGGCGAGCGGGCGGCAGGCCCGGCGACGCCACAGACGTCGCTCGGCCGGCCGCAGCCCGACGATGCCGTCGGCTGCCGCAGACGCCGCCACAGCGCACCGTCAATGTCGCAGCGGCGAGGCGGAGGGGCGACGGCTGCACCAAGGGGCCGTCGCGACACCTTGGCGCCGCGACGGTAGGCAACGAGGGACCGTCGCGACATCTTGGTGCCGCGACGGCAGGCAACAAGGGGCCGTCGCGACATCCTGGCGCCGCGACGGCAGGCAACAAGGGGCCGTCGCGACAACTTAGTGCCGCGACGGCAGGCACCAAGGGGCTCTGATACCATCTTAGAAACTTAGGACTAAAGGTTCTTAAACTTAGGAGGCTAGGTTGGCTAGGATACTAGGAAGAAGACCGCCATGGAATGGCGTGAGGAAAAACGGATCTAAGAAGGGAGGGAATGTCGAGAAGAAAGGTGGTTGGATTAGGAAGAGAGGGGAGTACAAGGAGGGGTTTGTACCCCCTACAGAAAGGTTCAGTAACAACCTACCAAGCCTATATTAAATTATAACTTATATAATTTTAACAGCAACTGACCGTTACGACTCCAAGGGTGGTAACCGAACCATCAATCGAGTCGCTGTGCGACTCGATAACCGTTTCTTCAACTGTATTCTACAACTGCTCTATTTCCTATTTTCTATATATTGCTGTATGCTTGTTTCTTTTAATCAATCACTTGCTCTCACATACTAGTGTCTTAAAACTAGGATCTAGGTAGGAGGAGGAGCCATGGAAATGGCGTGAGGTTTTAGGGTAAGAAAGTTGGTGAGAGAAAAGAGAACCAGAAAAGAAGAGAGGGATACAAGGAGGAGTGTTGTACCCTCTATAGTAATGTTCAGTAACATCTACCAAGCCTACACTTATATCATAACTTCAATAATTTAACAACTAGTGCAAGGGTTCAACTACTCAATACTTCCGCTGCACTACTCAAACACCTTGTACAAGTGGGACTTAGTATCTGGAAAGATCCTAAGGGCTTTTCTTAGCCCAACATGGTATGAGAGCTTGTCAAAGACCAAACTCCCAGCAACAACGCTCTATCTACAGTCAAGCACATCAAGAGATTCATCGATTAGAAGTCATGGACAACAAGGGCAAGAAGTCTTCTACGGGCTCACCCAGCGCCCAAGACACTCAACCCGACAACTCTGGACTACACACTTCAGGACTACAAACTGAGACCGGCGCTGCTCAAGAAACAACAAGGAGGGTACCAAAAATGGTGACCCCTTCACCCTCTTCAAGCGTGGACCCGAACCTTATAGAAAGGTTCTTCAGCTTCATGTCGCACTTTGACCAGCAGCAGCAGACAAGGACACCTACGCATTCAATACAGAGCAACGGGGGAAACATAGGATTAGCAACAATGAGCCTCGACAACTCATCATTTGGGCGGCACAATCAGGCGCCTACCTTTGCGCCTTATCACTCTTCACCGGGGACGTTTGAGTTTATGCCGCCCCATGCTCAACCGACACCAGCTGCACCAGAACATACACCAAACGAGATATCGGGTCTCTAAGGTCAGTTTTCACATGTGATCAAACTGCAGACATCTTCACCATTCAACGGGCACGACTTCTTTACCTGGAGTTTTGAGTTTGAGCTGCTGATGGAGGCCGCACACCTCTTAGGATACTTCAACAAGTCCCGGCCATTTCCAAGTAATGGCACTGCAAAGGAGCAGGAAATCTTCACTTATCAGTCGCTGCTGGCGTACACAGTTCTCCTGCGAAATCTGTCATCACAAGAGCAACAGAGCATCAGAACGTATCGGAGCTACGGAAAATCCGCGGAGCTCGCCTGGCATCATCTGAAGTGTCTCTATCAAGCAAACGACAGCGTGACACAAAGCAGACTCATGCAGCAGTTGACTACAATACAAATGAAGACCGGGGAAAAAGCGATGCAGTATATGAGTCGCTGCCAGACACTCCGCGACCATCTGCTTCGGTGCGGAGGTAGAATCACTGAAGAAAGCTTCGTGATACTTGTCCTCGCCGGGCTAGGGCCATAATGGAGAACCACCCGCTCGCTTCTTCGCGCCCACGGACGAATTTCCGAGATGCACCTCTGCGCCGAGCTTCATGCTGAACAACAGGAGATGGGCCTGTTTGAAGAAAGACAATCATAAAACAAGTAGCAGCCATTAGTCTTCTACACCCAAAGATGAAACGACAACAACTACAACCGACGCGATAAGCAGAATCGATATGACACAAGAGGTCTCACAGTCGTGCCGCCGTTCTACCACAATTGTCAGACATCCAAGGTTAACTGCACGCGCCCTCGAGTTCATCGTCTAGCAGATCCGTAAGTCACCTCCACTCAAGAGAATCCGCCAAGCCGCTCCTCTACACCTGCACGAGACACACCAAACATCATCAACTGCATGGTATGGATCGACAGCTGCAGACCCGAGTCACCACCCACTTACGCTCCAGACTAAGATGAACTGCCACTGCCACACTCACAAGGTCTCCATGTCAACCTGACGTGCGCTGCAGTTGCCAACGCCGAACCCACCGGGCGAAACACCTGGTTCTTGGACAGCTGCTGCGGCCAACATATGTGTTCTTCCGTGCGCTTCGTGCAACGAGAGCGACGCCTCAACCGCGATGTCATCATCACCGTCACCAACAACGAGAACCTGGAAACAAACAGACAAGGCTTCGTCAGCTTCAGTCAATGGAGACAAACGTCATACTACAACTCAACAAAGTTCTCATCGTCGACAACTTGGGATACAATCTACTGAGCGTTAGCTAGTTAATGGCAAAGGGAATTCACCTGGAATGCGATTCGGACGACAACGAGTTTCGTCTTTATCATAGGAAGGGTGGTCTCTTCATCGGTCGCGCTCTCCTGAAGTCGGGCGTCTTCGTGCTGGATTTCGTCCCCGACCGCGGTACTGCCGATAGCGATGGCATCGTGTCGTTTGCCACCTAGACGCACCCGCCGGATCTTGACCCCGACTTTACCCTAGACGGCTTCTGGCACTCCAACACCATCCTTGCAGTAGAAAGAACAAGAGCATTAGCAGTCATCCGCCAAGAACGACAAGTACCAGCAAACATCCCTCCTCCGATATCACCTGCAGTAGCAGCAGCAGGACCCAGCCGTGTACCATCACCGGCAATCCGAGGACCGCCATCCGAAGCAGATCAACTCATGCCCATCAACCGAGGAGTCTGCCGCAGTCCCGCCACGGTCGTCGCGTTCTTCTCCAACGCCGATGTGTACCAGTGCTCACCTGGCCATCGCGCCCCCGATGACATCTGGCATCAACGCCTCGGACACCCTGCAAACAACACAGTACTGCAAACCATACAAGCCGGAGTATTATAAAAGGATGCTCTTCTCACAACGAGCGGCCAGGAGCTTCGACGACCCCGTGCACGATGCTTCACGTGCCTCGAAGCTGATCTTCCCCACTAACCTTTCCCGTCCCACCACAATCCAAGTGCACCTGCATACGAACCGATGGAAGAAGTCTACAGCGACATCTTAAATATGCCTCGAGATGACAGTGAAGCAGAAAACAACTATGTCATCACGTTCATTGACCCAGCAACACGATACGCCTAGCACTACAACCTCAAGACACGAGATCAAGCATTCGAAGCCTTCACGACGTGGCTCCCCATCGCTGAACGAGAATCGGGCTCCCAACTCAAGAGTTTCCAGTCAGACGGGGCATTATAGTACCAGTCACAACGATTCAGGAACTACTTGGCAGAAAGAGGCATCAGGCGCCTGGTCTCTCTGCCCTACACTCACTAGCAGCAGGGGGTCATAGAAAGGATGAACAAAACCTTGCAGACGACGATGCGGAAGCTGCTCCTGGGGATGAGACTGCCCAACACGCTTTGGCCTAACGCAATGACGCATGCAGTACACCTACACAATTTGCTGTCGTCGACGTCACTTCCCAACAACGCATCACCGCACCTGCTGTGGACAGGAAAACAGGGCAGCACAAACTTACTTCGAGTCTTCGGCTGCATGGTACAGTACAGACCCCACACAGCTCGAGCAGGACAATTCTCACAACGAGCACGGTGGGGACTACACCTCGGCATTGCAAAACATTTCCAAGCATGGAAACTTCTCGACATCCAAA